ATTTATTTTTTTTGGAAAAAAATCGTTATTCAAAATTTTAAACACAATTCTATGGTCACATTTATTCACACCCTTTTGCGAACTTTTTTCTGCACTGTCTGCAGCAAAAACATCATCAGACACTCACCAGAATAATAATCTTGTAAATATATGCATATTTATAAATATATATTTATATATATATATATAAAAAAAAAAAAAATTTTTAAATATATATATCAAAATATTATTTATATATATATATATATATATATATTTATATATATATATATATATATATATATATATATATATATATATATATATATATATATATATATATATATATATATATATATATATATATATATATATATATATATATATATATATATATATATATATATATATATATATATATATATATATATATATATATATATATACAGCTGTGAAACAGAAATCAGAAATAAATTTAAATATATTGACAACATATAATCTACATTTAAATTTAAATACATTTAAATATTAAATATTAAATACATTTAAATATTTTTAAATTATTGTGGTTAAAAATTAAACTCTTCAATTTTATCTTTTATTATTAATGACCAAGATTATCTCTTTCTATTAGTTACGCTGATGGTTGGATATTGAACAGTGGCCTCTACTGTACAGACCTGGTAAGTGCAACACCTCATTTAGCGCTTCAGAATAGAGTAGTGTGAACTGTTTACATAATAGTGTATACTTTGTACTTTAAAGATATATATAACTAACATTAAATACAAAACATTCCAAAAAGGAATAGCATGATGCAGTGTTGCTCTATCAACTCTGCTACATCCTTCATTTTATGTCTAAGTTGTCTATTCTTTCAGAAATGTGTAGTTAATTTGCATAATTGATATCAATTTGGAAATTGAAATGTATTTCTGTGACTCTCTGCAATAAAACAAGAACTAAAAGGCAATTACTTTAGGTATAATCAAATGCATTGAATTATGGAATACAGTATAGTGTGCTCGACTGCATATCTAGTTTGCATGCTGGAAATATTCATAATGCATAAATATTATGTGCAGCATCATAATGTACTAATAATCATAATGCTAATAAGTTAATTTGCTTGTGATTCATGCATTCCAATATGAATGTGTATTGATTTCTGTCATTCATTTCATACCACAAGATGACCTGTTGATGCGTCTCAGCATGATCTTATCTCTCCTGCATAACTACTTGTTTAAAACCCAGTCCACATTTTCTCCCAGTTTCCACATTCCTCAAGGACCCCTCTGTTGCGGTGCCAGAGGGGGAGGCGTCCACAACACTGCCTGATGGGAAATGGTCCAGGCCTTCCTGCGCTGAGCTGCAGATAACAACTTACTGTTCAGAGAGCTCAGCCTGAGGTCTTCAGAGATACTGAGCTGCTGGACGAGAGCCAGGTACTGCTCAGCCTCGCATGCACAAGCGCTCACATTTTTTCACGTTTGTTTGTATGTTTGTTTGTTTGGCCTCCTCCAAGTTAGCCAAAGGTTGCAGATAGCACCGCCGCCCCCCCCTTTGCTAAAGGTCTTCCGCGTTGCATGACTTCGCACGCTGATATCTAGCACCGAAATAAAAAAATGCATCTGAAATTGTTCGGTTCCTAGTGTCATAAGCCAACTTTATCTGAATTTCTCTTTCTCCATCCTCTCTCTTTCTCTCTCTGTGTGTCTCCTTTAAAGCATGGAGAGCTATTCTCCATGTGCCAGAGGGATCAGTAGGAGGCTGAAAGAGAAGATGATTAATTAGCATTGCTTCTCCGCTTTGGCTGTAGACTGATCTCGGCCCAGATCCTCTGCGGGCTTCTCTTATGTAAATCTGTCGAGAAACATAGTGGGGCATAGAAGCGGACGGTGGCGCAAAACAAACACTGCGTGCTGCGCCGTATGCTCAGGTTGGTTGGACATCCATATCCAAAAGTGCAAACACATATTGTTGCTTCTGTATAGTTGGGAAAGTTTGTCGTTTACATTTACGTTAGTCAATTCTAGCCATTAAGGTAGTCAAAATTTCGGATGTTTTATACATTTTGAGAGAAACGGAAAAAAATTGGGGCAACAATGAATTTGTAGGACACAAATGAAAACTTTTTGAAGGGTGTTACAGTGTTACAAGGGTGTTTGGTTAGTATAAAGTTGGGCTGCACGGTGGCCCAGTGGTGCCACACAGCAAGAAAGTCGCTGGTTCGAGTCCTAAATCCTGATTGGTTGTGGATTTGGAATGATGTGAGGGATATCAAATTTGCTTAGAGTCCTTCCTAAAATTTAACGTACACCAGAATAAATTGTAATTTATATATTATGATTCTGGCTCATATGAAGATTTACAGGTTGTTTAATTAAGTCAGTATTTAAGTTAAGAGTACACTTACAGGTGGACAGATTGTCTCATCGAGTTTGGAGTTTTTAAATGTTATTTATAGTCACAGCTTGCTGTATAATTATTGGTCATGTGACACATGAGAACCAATAGCGTTCAGCCTAGCCAATGAGATCCAGCCTGTCATTCATTCATTCATTCATTTTCTTTTCGGCTTAGTCCCTCTATTAATCAGGGATCGCCACAGTGGAATGAGTGTCCACTGTCAATAAGCGTACCGAACCATACCGTACCGTACCACTTTTTAGGCACCCTTTCGAAAGGGTCCCAAAAACGAGAAAGGGTACCAAAAGGTGGAGCTACACGCGCAACTGAACGCTGATTGGTTACAGAGATACGTCACAAGCTCGTGGAGCTAGACAGAATGTAAACAAAGGATCCGCCATGTTCTAGTACACAGCCGAGAGATTACATAGATATAACGTTACTATATGCATAAAATAACCAGACATAAATGACCCGGGCTCAAACAAACCGTGTCGTCTTGATGAACAGACACAATGCAAAGAAGAACAAAATCTGCCGTGTCCTGTTGTTGCTTTACGAGCCCGTCTAAAAGTGCAAGCGGTATTCACTTTCTTCCGGGAGCCCGCGATTGCATCTATATTTGATATAACAAACTTCTTGAGCTGATGATAATAAAGTGTAACGTTACGTGATTGTTGAAGAGTCTCCGTCATCTAATCCATTCAGAAAGAAAAGGAAATCATGTTCATAGAAAAGTTAGTAATAAACATTTATAAACAAGTATTTATGTGTATGAAGCATCTGTTTTGTGAGAAGTGCTGCTCATTATGATATATGAACGACCCGTACAGCTTTACTGTAGACATTAATTCAAGCGAGCATGACGTCGACTTAAACTTTGTCATACACCTCGACCACCAAAAAGGGTACCTGATAAAGCCTGATAAAGGTGACCCATAACGACCCGAACCGTACCGTACTGTACCAGTCAGTGGAAACGAGCCACAACTTACTCAGCGGATGTCCTTCCAGTCACAACCCAAAACTTGGAATAACCAATACACACTCCCTCAAACATACACTACTGCCAATTTAGCTTATTCAATTCACCTATAGTGCATGTCTTTGGACTGTGAGGGCAACCGGAGCACGAATAGAGAACATGCAAACCCAACACAGAAATGCCAACTGATCCAGCTGGGGTTCAAACCAGTGACCTTCTTGCTGTGAGGCAATTGTGCTACCCACTGCACCACCGTGACGCCCCAGCCTGTCGTTTATTTATTCATCTTAGTCCCTTTATTAATCTGAGATGGCCACAGCGGTATGAACCGCCAACTTCTCCAGCATATGTTTTACGCAGCGGACGCCCTTCCAGCTGCAACCCATCACTGGGAAACATCCATACACTCATTCACACAGGGAGAACATGCAAACTCCACACAGAAATGCCAACTGACCCAGCCTGGACTCGAACCAGCGACCTTCTTGCTGTGAGGTGACAGTGCTAACCATTGAGCCATCGTGTCGCCACTAAAATTCACCTGGTATTCGCCTTCTTTGCGTACGAGCCATTTGAACCTTTTTGGCTTGAGACATCCGGTCTCATTCACTTCCATTCATTTTTAGACATTAAAAACTGCTCGTTTCGCTGTTTAATGTTGCAAACTGATATTTTCTTATTATATTATTCTACTTGGTCTGTATAGTCATGCAAACATTTGTTTGTAGAGCAAGTAGTTTGACCATTTTCTGCCGTTTATTATTCCTAGTCATTTCTCCCATAGGCGACTGAATCGGAAGTTCTAAAACAATCGCAAAAACAGGCGCACTTCCGCATTTTAGAATAAGGTCAATACTCTGATATATGTAAAATGCTCAATGATGATATAACTCGTGTGAATATTTCACTTATGTTTTTCATTTCATTTTTGCAAAAGTTGTTTGAAACTAAGGTAGACACTTGGCTTGCTTTATAATGACTTGTATTGAACTGACCCAGCCGGGGCTCGAACCAGCAACCTTCTTGCTGTGAAGCGATCGTGCTACCCACTGAACCACCATGCTGCCCCAGCCTGTCATATGTGGAGAAAAAAACTAAAACCTTTTTTAATGAAATTGAGATTTCAGAGCTTATATGACTTCTATTAATGTCTAATTAACTTCTAATAATGTCTATTTTACACTATTTTTGATCACTGGTTAATTGAAATTTTTGTTATTAGTTGCTATTGCTATAATGGAAAGGATAATTCAGAGCTGGCTCAAGTACTTCTGTCCTACGACTAAAGAAGCCTTGGTAATATGGTGCACAGCAAATTCTATGATGTTTTGTCCTATTTTAAACATTAATTGCATGGTTGTTGTGTGGTACGCAGTAGTTAGCACCATAACCTCACAGCAAGAAGGGTGCTAGTTCGAGTCCCGGCTGGGCCAGTTGGCATTTCAGTGTGGAGTTTGCATGTTCTCCATGTGTTGGCGTGGGTTTTCTCCGGATGCTCCGGTTTCCCTCACAGTCCAAAGACACGTGCTATAAGTGAATTGAATAAACTAAATTGACTGTAGTGTGTGTGTGTGTGTGTGTGTGTGTGTGTGTGTGTGTGTGTGTGTGTGTGTGTGTGTGTGTGTGTGAATAAGTGTGTGGGTATTTCCCAGTACTGGGTTGTGGCTGGAATAGTTGGCAGTTCATTCCACTGTGGTAACCCTTAAGGGACTTAGCCGAAGGAAAATGAATGAATGAATGAGATTTCAGAGCTTATCTGACTTAAATTATTGTCTGTTATTATTGTTAGCACATAAACTTATTAAATAGCTTTAAATGTCTTGTGTTTATGTGTGTAACTCAAATGTTTGTATGTTCTTCAGCTTGATCATGGTTTATCACCTTTTGTATGATTATTTTTGTCTTTTTTTATTGCAAAAATCCCTTTTATTGTAGAAAAAGCTTGGACATATCTGTTAAAGAAGAGATTATATAGAGCTGAAATGACTTGAATGTGAGTGAACTTTTGTGTGAACTTTCCCTTTAAGCCATGTACCGTTCTGAAGTGGCATTTACAGTACATTTGCACTTTGCCATATTCTCAGTCATGTGATATAAGAACCAATATCGTTTGGCCTCAGTGACATCCAACTTGGTTAGATGCCTCAAAAGGTGTTTTTTTAAATGAGGTTTTAGAGCTCTTGTTGCCTACGCTTTGATCTGCTTCTTACAGATCTGATGTATGGCTTCAGAAGATTTACTTTTTATGGAGCTTTTTGTCAATTCATAGGAGGTATGAATGAAGCACGTGCAATTTATGTTGAATAAAAATATAATGTAATATAATATAATTGGTTGTGATGTAATGTGATGTGATATAATATAATGTTATTTAATATAGTATAATATAATATAATAAAAAAATAATATAATATAATATAATATAATATAAAATAGGGCGACGCAGTGGCTCAGTAGGTAGTGTCTGTCGCCTCACAGCAAGAAGGTCACTGGTTTGAGCCTCGGCTGGGTCAGTTGGGTTTCCTGTTTGGAGTTTGCATGTTCTCCCTGCGTTCGCGTGTGTTTCCTCCAGGTGTTTTGGTTTCCCCCACAGTCCAGAGACATGCGGTACAGATGAATTGGGTTGGCCAAATTGTCTGTAGTGTATGAGTGTGTATGAGTGTGGATAGATGTTTCCCAGAGATGGGTTGCAGCTGAAAGGGCATCCGCTGCGTTAAACATATGCAGGATAAGTTCATTCCGCTGTGGCGACCCCAGATTAATAAAGGGCCAAAGCCGAAAAGAAAATGAATGAATAATATAATATAATATAATATAATATAATATAATATAATATAATATAATAAATATAATAAATATAATAAATATAATATAATATAATATAATATAATATAATATAATATAATATAATATAATATAATATTCTGCAATGGCATGAAGGTGAATAAATAATAAATACATTTTTATTTTGTGGGCAACTGTCCCTTTCAGTCTTATATGGGGTATTTGAATGTAATGCAGTCAAAAATGTATCAGTCACATGATGTGCATTAGCTTAAGCATTCATACATTGCATTATGATTAGATTTTTTTTGCTTGACAGTGTAAAACACTCTGAAAGAGCAGCTTGGACATTGTGTATGACATTTTTTTTTTATCAAGGGAGAAAAAGTGATTTGACGTTGGAATGATGTACTGTATGAGTGAGTAAATTATGACCACATTCATATTAATTGGGTGCTTTGTAACTTCAAACTGGCTATGCCTTCATAATCAGCAAGCTCATATCGTCTGTAATTTTCATTTACTTTCTGTACATGCATTTATACTAACAAACGCAAGCAGCGCTAGTGATGATGCAAGTCGTCTGAACGCTTTCTGAGCCAACTGCAATTGCCAACAAGTCTGTGTTCACACATTGTTACTTCACAAGCTCCTCTTCTCTAACGACTAAAACGGTCAATGCTTTTTTTTTTTTACAGCAAACCAAATATTGCAAAGCATCCTCAAACACACAGCTGAAGAATAACTTAACAAACAACATCATTTTATTGACCCAAGTTTAGTGAAAACTGTCAAAATACAATAACAAGCATTGGAACACAAGGCATTTTGGACACATGTAACCTCTTTAAAAAGACACTGCAAACATAAGGCCAAAACTACTAACCTGAGATATCCCACAAAACAACCCTCCACAAGTTGGCCAATGCTAAAGAGGTTTTCTTTTTAGAAAAATAGAGAGATTTGCAAGAAAAAAAGACACTTTATACATTCAAGGACTGTTGGGAATGTTCAGCTCTGCTTCTCCTCTACTTGCTTGTTAGTAAGACACTTGATCTGCAGTTCGAGGGGGGGTGAATAGAGAGACGGGGGAATGTGCGAGACGGGGCGGGACAGATGGAGCGAGATGAGAGCGAGGGTGAGAAAGGGAAAAGGAGCCTCAGGCTTCCTTGTCGTCCCTTTTTTTTGTCTTCACAGGAGCCGGCATAGTCGCCGTGCCTCCCAGCCAGTCCCAGTGGGCGAAGAAAGGTGCAAAGTTGGTGCCCGGCAGCTGATGGTGAGCGTCGTGCCGCAGAGCTCCACCCCAAAGGCCGAAAGGGACCAGACGGTGCATCGCCCAAGGGAAATCATACCCGCAGTGGTCCTCCGTGGACACCCAGATGTTAAACAGCATGAACGCCCAGGCAGTAAGACAGTGGCACTGGAGAAGCAAAGGATCCACTGTGGTCCAGAAGCCAACGCTGAAGAGCTCCCAGGCGGATAGGTACTGGGTGACCAAACTGAAGGTCTGGCGGTACTGATGGTGGAGAGCATGGAAGGTGCGGTACAGCCAGCCGACGCGGTGATGCAAAAGATGCCACAAGTAGTATTGGAAGTCGAACACCACCGTGCAGCCCACGATTCCCAGCAGGAAGGCAGTCAGCGTGGGCGCTTCGCGCGGCAGAGGGATGGGTGGCCGCCAGAGCCACTGGGCCACGGCGGCGGGGAAGATGTAGAGCAGATGGTTGTACGTGGTGAGCGCCAAAGTGGAGCCGATGTTGGACCAGGTGACGGTGCGGTCCTGGTGGATCTGGTAACGGCGGATGGAGGGCCAGGTGGGAGCCAGTAGATCCAGCACAGTGTAGAAGAACACCAGCACCAGGTACATTGACACCGAGAGGATGACGGGAAACAGCGGTGAGCGCAGGCTGCTCTCGTGGTTTTGCTGGAGGTAGTCCCACAGGGGTTGCAGCACCGATTGATTCGACAGATCCCAGGTTGTATTGCTGATGTCCAGCATGCTGTGTGCACCGCCGGGACGCATGCTCTTCTTTGATGGCCAGATATGTGTTGTTACTCCTGCGGCGGGATGGTGAGGATGCTGGCAGTGGCCGGTGGCGACTTTCTCTTGTTTTGAGTGGTGGATGTGGCTTTTTGTAAAGGATCTGCTGTGCGCCAAATGAGGCAGGCCTTTACGCTTCTAAAATGTGCCCAAGCACCACCTCCTGCATCTGTAGCATTTCTCTCTTTCTCTCTCTCTCTCTCTCTCTCTCACCTCCCCACGCTCCCTTTCTCTTGGTATGGTGTGTGTGAGTGAACACTCTTTTCATTGGTAGTTGGAGGATGATCCAACATTTGACCAGCCGATCTGTTAAGTCCTCTCACTACTCATTTATGACCTAGAAACAGAGAGATGTTTGATAGCTTTCATCTACAGTTAGATTGATCAAAGATTTATGCATTACAATTGCCTCAAATGATGCAGGAAATTCTGTAATCAGGATTTAAATGTTATTGTTAGATTTGCTCAATGAGGCAGGGTAAATGTTTATGCAAGATTTGCAGCTCATATCATAGACTTGAAAGTGCACAGCAGGTGATTGCTGGCAACAAAGTTTAAGGCTGTCATACCCACTCATTATGTTAATGTTTGCGCATCAAAGCAGATATAATTTGATTCAGGTTTTTGCATAATATTTGGATAAGATGTAGCAGCACTGTAAAAAAAGCTGGGTTACACATAATTCCTTCATGTTGTCCCAACACAAAGTAAAGTTTACCTAATTAGTTTGACAAATTTAAGTTGATTGAACATAAAACAATTAAGTTACCCTAAAAACTCAAGTATTGGGTTAATTCAACTCACTAAAAATAAGTAGTTTGAACAAGCAGCAAAATATTTTAGTGAGTGAGGCATTTTTAAGATTTAATTTTAGTCAATGGAAATATAGATGATATTTAATTTCAACATTAGATGAGGAACTTTGTCTGAAAAAAAATACAAAAATAGAAAAAATAAAGCAAAAAGTAGAAATGTTGCCTTGGAATAAAATTGAAATAATATGCTGAAGAAAATGAATCAAATTTTCAAGGTCACCTAGGTTCCCCTTTTTTCCAGATTTAATATAAGTGTTTTGCGTCCCCAGAATGTGTCTGTAAAGTTTCAGTTTAAGACACCCATCAGATTTTTCATTATACCTTTTGCAAGATTCTAATTTATACATTTTTGCACTAGGGGGCTGTTTTGTCGTACTGCGCCTTTAAGGCTAGTCTAGTTTAAGGCTTAATCTCCTTCCTCGGCTACGTCAGACAACAGACAGACTTGAAGAAAAAAGATGATCTCACATAGTGTTTATGAGAAATACTACAGTAAGAACTTTACCAATGAGTATTTGTTGTGCAGTTGCATGGATGAGTCACATACAAAGTCGTTACAAAGTTCAAGCGCGCATACACAAAAATACACACGCAGACACACACACTGCAAAAAATGCTTTTCTTGCTTAGATTTTTTTCTTGTTTCTAATCTAAATATCTACAATTTCTTATATCAAGAAGCATTTTCTAGACAAGCCATTAGACATTATTTTGCTTTTTTATTATTATTATTTTAGCTATTATTATCATCTTTTTACGCTTTTTTTCATATCCACCCAATATAACCAAACAGCCGCGATTGATTAAGTAGTAGTCGTTTACCTGTTTCTTTCTGTGTGCACGAGACCTATCAACACTGCCACAGACAGTCGCACATGCTCTGCAGACCCACAGAGATGCACCTTATTGGGAATTAGTCTGGCTGGGGTTTATAAATCTCCTAAAATGTCTGAGATGGTTGTGAGTGAAAATCCCAGTAGATCAGCAGTTTCTGAAATACTCAGACCAACCTGTCTGGCACCAACAACCATGCCATGTTCAAAGTCCCTTAAATCCCTTTTCTTTCCTCATTCTGATGCTCGGGTTGATCTGCAGCAGATCGTCTTGACCATGTCTATATGCCTAAATGCATTGAGTTGCTGCCATGTGATTGGTTGATTAGAAATTTGCGTTAACGGGCAGTTGGACAGGTGTACCTAATAAAGGGGCCAGTGAGTGTAGTATTTTTATTGGTTTACAGCTATAGGTCACAGAGGACAAGTGAACTACTGTGAACTGTTTGTGTAATGTCAGTTGTGACCTCAACATTACAGCATTTTTACCACATCGTCTCATTTCCTGTTGCACCTTCTTTCAAAACCCCTCTATTAATATCAATCAATTTACATAAACTGTCATTACAAAACATCTCTGTTAATATTCATATGATTGTCTGGCTAGAAATTGCTTATAAACAACCCATCTCTGTATAATGATGAGTATAGGCCAGTCTCTCTCTCTTTCTTTCTCCCTCTCTCTCATTAATCATCGTTTTTCTGTCAGTCATTCACACAGATGAAAAGCCCTTGTTTATATTTTGATGTTTTTCCGACCAGGAAGTTGCAGTTGGGGTGTCACTGTGGTCATGCATAAATCTCTTTGCAGAATAAAGTTTGTTTGTTCGAGGAGAAAGCAGGACAGGGCAAAAGGCCACCGAGCGGCTCTCTGTGGGGGCATTAATGATCCACTTCTCACACAAAACAAAACAAAACAAAAAAAGACATCCTTCATGATTGAGACCACATACTACTTTAGATTGTTTTCAAAATTTATTGTATAAATGAAATAAATGATAATAATAAAAAAGAAATGCAGTTGATTTTTTAATCTTTGATGCATAAAAATGTCGTCAAATTATTGCAGTGAACTATAAAATAAAAAATTGACATATGATAATTAAATGAAAAGTAGAAATGTTTCCTTGGAATAGACTTGAAATTATATGTTGAAGAATTATTATTCTTATATTATTCTTATATAATACTATTATTATATGTTGAAAAACGTATAAGAAAATAAAAACTAACAAAACAAACCTCAAAATGACTAAAACTATAATGAAAACTAAAATGAGAAGGGAAAAAAATGTGAATAAAAATCTCTATGTAACTTATATGCTATACCATAATATCCTTCATGATAAAGACCACAACCTACTTTAGATTAGGCATGGGCCGGTATAAGTTTCTGACGGTATGATAACCTTTGATTTATATACCATGGTTTCAGGATATCACGGTATCAGAGTATTATGATTACTGCTCTAAAATAAGTTATTTTTAAATGTCTGGGTAAAACAAACAACGAAACAATTAAAAAAAACGTTTTCCTCATTGAACACAATTTATTTTATAAAGAAAAAACTATAATATTTGGGAGCAGTAAACATGTCAGGCTAATTAGTTAAAATAAATAATTGATTTCTACTCTTTTCATTAGTTTCAAAAACAAACAAATAAAAATGCATTAGCAAACCTTACATATACCTTGGGAATGGTATAGCAGAACATTTTAGCAGTATTAAAACCTTGACTTTTCCAAACCGTGGTAAACCCTAAAACCAGTTATCATATTTAGATTGTTTTCAGAATATTCTGTATATAATAAAAATGAAAGGAACTTGAAATTTTAATATAGACTTTTTTTTTTAATCCCAGCTGATTTTTAATCTTTAGTGCATAGAAAACGTCTTGTGAAATTATTTTAGAAAACTATCAAATATAAAAAAGGAACTGAAAAAAAGTAAAAATGTTGCCTTGGAATTAAATTGAAATAGTATGTTGTAGTATTGTGAAGTATACGAAAACAAAAAAAAATGATTAAAACCCTAATGAAAACTAAAATGAGAACAAACAAAAAAAAGTGAATAAAATCAGTATGTTACTTATAATATTCTTCATGATTAAGACCACATGCTACTTTAGATTGTTTTCAGAATATTCTGTATGTAATAATAAAAAAATGAAAAGAACTTGAAACATTAATATTGAATTTTTCTTTCATCGCAATTGATCTTTTAATTTTTGATGCATAAAAAAAAAGTTCTGTCAAATGATTACAGGAAGGTATAACATTAAAAAATGACAGAAAAAAATGAAAATTTTAATGAAATTAAATGAAAAGTAGAAATGTTGCCTTGGAATAGAATTGCAATAATAAGTTGAAGTATTATGAAGTATAAGGGAATAAAAACTAACAAAATAAACCCACACTTATTCTGATTACATACTATAATAATAATAATAATAATTAATAATTTCTTACACTTATATAGCGCTTTTCTGGGCACTCAAAGCGCTTTACACACAATGGGGGGAATCTCCTCATCCACCAGCAGTGTGCAGCATCCACCTGGATGACACGACGGCAGCCATTTTGCGCCAGACCGCACACCACACACCAGCTGATTGGTGGAGAGGAGACAGAGATGAAGCCAATTGGAATATGGGGATGGTTAGGAGGCCATGATGGACAGAGGCCGGTGGGCAGATTTGGCCAGGATGCCGGGGTTAAACCCCTACTCTTTTCGAAGGACATCCTGAGATTTTTAACGATCACAGAGAGTCGGGACCTCAGTTTAACATCTCATCCGAAAGACGGCGCTCACTGAGCAGTATACCGCCCCCGTCACTGTACTGGGGCATTAGGACCCACACAGACCGCAGGTTGGGCGCCCCCTGCTGGCCTCACTAACACCACTTCCGGCAGCAACCTAGCTTTCCCATGTGGTCTCCCATCCAGGTACTGACCAGGCGCAGCCCTGCTTAGCTTCTGTGGGCGACCATGTGAGAGTTGCAGAGAGCTAGCTGCCGGCTATAATCATTTCTAGAGGGCACCAAATACATCCCAGGAGGTACATTTTTTGTAGTTCTTGTTTTTGTAAATCCGCCAGGCCGCTGTGTATGCTTTTTGAGATCTCAAATTTCTCTTGTGAGTGCCATTTGCGCCTGCTGTTCTCACGTAAATCCCCCAGAGGCTGCTGTTGACTGACTGACTGACTGACTGACTGACTGACTGACCGACCGATCGATTCATCCTCCCACAAACTTCCCTAAACCTAGCCGACAGTGTTTTCAAAAGCACCAATTGACCAGCGCCCACACACTTCCCTAAACTAAACCAACAGTGTTTTCAAAAGCACCAGTTGACCAGAGCCCACCCGCTTCCCTAAACTCAACCAATAGTGTTTTCAAAAGCACCAACTGACCAGGGCCCACCTGCCTCCCTAAACTCAATCAATAGTGTTTTCAAAAGCACCAATTGACCAGCGCCCACCTGCTTTCCTAAACCCAACCGACAGTTTTTTCAAAAGCAACTTAGAAAAAGAAAAGCCCTCGCGGCAGCCTGATTTTCACCACGTTTTTAAATTTTACCACATTCTCACCCTGAGAAAAGGAATAGCGTCACACTGCTCCGTAGTGTTCGCTTTAAAGACTAAATGCAGCCATATGTCCAGAAATGCGTATAGGGCTACGTTTTCAGAATGAGCCTATGTTGGACTAAAATCTTAAAGAAAATTGGATGTTGCCTTGGAATAGAATTGAAATAATATGCTGAAGTATTATGAAGTATATAAAAATAAAAAAACTAACAAAAAAGCTAAAAGCGACTAAACCCTTAATAAAAATTAAAATAATAAAAAAGTAAATAAAAATCTGTAACTTATATATATAATACCAAAATAAAATAGTAAAATAAAGTAGAAAAGGCTTTGCATCAAGAAAACTTTGGTTCGCAAGACATATATTTTAAAACAAATATTTTAACTTATGTTGTTCCCTTGTTTCTTTGGTTTTCATTTGGTTACTTTTGATTACAACATCATAATCTTTCAGATTTCTGCTGTACTGTAAAAAAAATCTTGTTTGAGTGTGATGTAATATGTAAATGATTTGTTAGCAGTATGAAAAAATCAGAGATTGGTGTTAAAAATGCTGGACACACTACTGGGAAAAAACTATGAATCACTAATGAGTCACTAAAGGCTGCAATGCTTTCATTCTCTGAAGTGTCATTTTATTAAGCTATTCATTTATGTAAGCTATTCATATCATATCTATGCAAGAAATTTATTTAGACTTTGTATTCCAGGAAAAATTCTCACTTCTGTATGTAATCAGTTTATTCATTTCCTGTGTATTTAAGTTCCTGTGTGTTCAGTCAGTTCCTCGTCTGGTATTCTAAGTTGTGTCTTGTCGGCCATCCTTGTTGTTCCTGTATCTCCTGTATTATCGGTGTCTTTTCAAGTGAGTGTTTAAAAAAAAATCTACATTTTGTTGAATCCTGCGATCCTTCCTGAGTGAGTCGAGGCATTACATTGGCTATTTTTTTGTCATTGTTTGCTAAATTAAGTCATTTCCAAATGAGCATTATTTGGTTTGTTTTTCTTTTTTTTCTAGTGTATGTAAGGATTTGAGAATATTAAATTGACAGATTTTGAAAAAAAAGGAAAGAAAAGCTTTTATGCATTTTTCTGTTATGTAACTATGTAGAAAAATTTTTGCATTACCATAAAGCAGACATTTTCACAGTTCAGAATATTCTTAGAATCATGTTCTGGTGCAACTTGAACCACAGCATTAAAGGACATCAGTGGATGCAAATGCTGGATTGAGTTACAGAATGAAAATATGAATCACTTAATCATGTATGAGTCACTTAGAGGCTGTCAGACATCCTTAACACTTATAATTGTTTATTTTCTAAGCTATTCATATGCATGATATTATTATGAATGCATATACAATTTAATAATTTGACATTTTAAATTAACTTAAAGGGATAGTTCACCCAAATTTAAAAAGTAGCTCATCATACAGTCTCCATCATCTGGTTTTAAACATTTGAGTTACTTTCTTCTGTGGAACACAATAGGGGATAATTTGAAGAATGCTGGTGCTCATTGACTTTAATAGTAAGGGGAAACCCTTAGAAAGTCAATGCCTACCAGCATTCTTCAGGATATCATCTTTTGTGTTCAATAGAAACTAAAATAGGCAACCCAGGCTCATCATTAAAACATACCCCTATATACATCCCTGGAGATCACGAAATGCATCCCTGGAGGTACGTTTTTTAAATTTTATTTTTTTGCAGTTTTTGTGAATCCACCAGAAGTCACTTTTTCAGATCTCAAATTTCTTTTGCAAGTGCCCATAGTGCCACCAGAGGCCGCTGTTGACTGACTAACTGAGCGAACAACTTGCCCATCCTCCTTTTTCCCTAAACCCAACCGATAGTGTTTTTAAAAGCACCGATTGATCAGCGCCCACCCACTTCCCTAAACCCAAACCCAGTGTTTTTAAAAGAAATCCAGAAAAAAAGCTTTTTTTAATTTTTTTAAAATTTTTTTATTACAATTTCAGATTTGACCACATTCTAACCCTGATATTTACTTTTTATTTGTTGGCTTGTGTTTTTTATTTTACCTGCTTTCTGGAACCATTCTTTGCTGGTCTTAAACCTTGTCGTCGTGGTCTTCTGATGTACACAGCGAGCTACTGTGCAAACTAATAACACTGGAAAAGCCGTCCACATGGAAGTAAAGCTTAGTGTAAACTTCTGCGTTGAGTGATCGGCGGGACATACGACGTGACTAAGGAGTTTGGGTTGCAAAAAAGTGCTGGGTTCAACACAAATCATTCATGTTGTCCAAAAAAAAATTGATTAGGTTAACTTAACAAATTTAAGTGGATTGAACATAACATTTAAGTTGTTCGAAGAAAATCTCAAGAATTGCATTGCTTCAGCTTGTTTTAAATAAGTAGTTTGAACGAGCAGCAAAATCATTTGTTTGAGTGTAGTTTTAGAGAATAATAAAATGCATGCATTTCTGAGCAAGCTTTTTTCATATTTTTCAATTGCATAACACAAAAGTGAAGCTTTCATCATGTTTCTGTTAGACTTGAACTGGCATTTTTTCTCATCACAGATGCTCAGTTAAAGCCACTCCAGCTTGACGGAGGGTTTCAGCCTGGATGACTTGCTGGAAAGATGCGTTGCTCTACCGATCCCAAACCATGCAAGCTAGTGGCGACAGCGGAGAGGGAAAAAAAAAACTTCACCAATTGGCGAGAGTAAAGATGAAAAACCTTAAGAGAAACCAGACTCAGTTGGGCATGACCATTTTAATTTCTTCGCTGGCCAAACATCTTGTGCAGAGCTGCAGTCTCAGCGGCGGAGGCAGGAAGCTGAACCTCAGCGAAGACTCTCCCTGGAGCGTCACAGGAATCAGTCTCATGCTCTCCACTCCTCCATGACCACCACAGCAGCTCCTCAGGATTTGGCCTGGTCCAGGATATGGACACCTTTTTGATCATCTCGTCGCTGGTCTTGGATCAAATCAGGTGAAAAGTAGAGAATAAAGAGAATAATTAGCGTAGCTGCTGTTCACAGTGTATATAAACAAGATGCAGAAACCTGTGTGCACAGCATAACTTTTCAGATTTTCTGATTTTGACTGTAGTGTAATAATAATGTTCTACTTTTGTAAAGTTGCTTTGGATCAACAATTATTGTGATCTAAAATGAATAAATAATAATAACCATAATAATAATAATAAGGGGCTACACAGTGGCGCAGCGGATTGCAAGATCACCTCACTGCAAGAAGGTCACTGGTTCGACCTTGACTGGGTCAGTTGGCGTTTCTGTTTGGAGTTTGCATGTTCTCCCCGTGTTCGCGTAGGTTTCCTCCGGGTGCTCTGGTTTCCCCCAGAAGTCCAAAGACATGCACTATAGGTGAATCGGGTAAGCTGATTTGTTAGTGTATGTGTGTGAATGAGTGTGTATGGATGTTTCCCAGTGAAGGGTTGCTGCTGGAAGGGCATTAGCTGCGTAAAACATGTGCTGGATAAGTTGAAGGTTCATTGCACTGTGGCAAACTTAGATTAATAAAGGGACTAAGCTGAAAAGGAATAATAATTATTATTTTGGTAGGTCAGTTGATGTTATTTTGCAAAGAAATAAAGATTTTCTAAATTTATATTAAAACTAATATGCTATGCTCATGCGGTAACACTTTACTTGAAGGGGTGTTCATAAGACTCATTCATTCATTGCCATCTTTGAGTAACACGAGTAGGAATTATAATGTTCAAAATAGTTTCTGTTTCAAATGAATGCTGTTTTTTACATTAATGAAGTCTTAAAATGGGTCAAAGTTTACATTTTAAAATATTAAGCAGCCACTTTTAAGTGATAAGTTTTCGAAATTGATGAGGATAATAAATGTTTAAGAATAAAGGATTGTGTGACACTAAAAATCACTGATGGGCAAAAAAAGTCACAAAAAAATTATAATTTAATAATATTAAAATTTATTCAGTTAGAAGTCTTCCAATCGTAGTAATATTTCACAATATTCTCCTTTTAATGGGTATTTCTATGAATAAATGCAGCCACAGTTCAGAATTCAAGTGTTAAGTATATCACTAACAAATGAATTTTTAATATTAATTTTAAAAGTAAAAAGTAGTGTACTTGGTTACCAATGAGACTACAAGCCCTTAATTAGAAATATTACATTTAATCTGGATTTATTTTTTCAGCTTGTCTCTTTTTTACTTTGCTTGAATTATGCCAAAATAACTAATTGTAAAAATTATTAATGCTACATGTAAAAAAAAAAAAGCATAAATACAATAAAATGGCTGAATGTGAAAACTAAAAACATCAACCGAATTATTATTTAAAAGTAAAAAAAAACTAAAATAACGGCATCAGGATGGCGCAGTGGGTAGCATAATCGCCTTACAGCAAGAAGGTTGCTGGTTCAAGCCTCAGCTGGGTCAGTTGGCATTTCTGTGCTTGTTCTCCCCATGTTCGGGTTATCTCCAGGTGCTCTGGTTTCCCCCACAATCCAAAGACATGTTATAGGTGAATTAACTAAGCTAAATTGTCTGCAGTGCATGTGTGTGAAAGAAAGTGTATGGCTGTTTCTCAGTGATGGGTTGCAGCTGGAAGGGCATCCGCTGCGTAAAACATATGCTAAATAAGTTGGCAGTTCATTCCACTGTGGCGACCCCAGATTAATAAAGGGACTAAGCTAAAAGAAAAAAAAATGAATGAATGAATCTAAAATAACACTATCGAAGTTTGGCCACTAGAGGTCAGAAATACATCACTATCAAAACAACAAGCAGCGAGCTTTGCCATCTCAAGATGAGATGAAACCTTTATATGCAGCATTCTGCCGTTTACTTTCATGCTGTTTAGACCAATGGTTCTCAAAGTGGGGGTCGGGACCCCCCGAGGGGTCGCGGGACAATGAAGGGGGGGTCGCCTGGTGATTTCCAAAAATCTATTTATTTTTATTAAACCATAAGAATTACCATATTTTATCCATAACCTACTGAAGAGAAAAAAATAGTCGTTTATACCATATAGTCACTATGGTAGCTTATAGTTACTACTTCTATTGGATTGCAACCCCTGGGGTAATTGCATTATATTAAAGACACAGCAATAGTGTCAGATGCAGCAGATTTCATAACACCTGGTAAAACTTTGTTGCCCATTTACAGCTCTCATACATTAAAAAAATTAAAAGAAGAATAGACTTGGGTCCATTGGTGTGTGTGCTCCATTGCATGCAAGGTTTCTGTATTTATAACCACCTCAGAATATATTGGGGGTCGCGACTCACTGGCATTGTCATTTTGGGGGTCGCGGCCTGAAAAGTTTGGGAACCCCTGGTTTAGACAACCCCTGTAATATAATCGCTGAGACCTTGTGTGTGTGTGTGTATATATATATGTGTGTGTATATGTGTGTGTGTGTGTATATATGTATATATGTATATATATATATATATATATATATATATATATATATATATATATATATATATATATTAGACCGCAGAATTAATGCGTGATGATCTGGGTCATTGCTCATAATGTCAATTCAGTAGTTTCTCTCACTCTAATTCACACAAGCAGTAGGAAGGGAAACGTTTCATCATCTTAATGAACGGAAAACACTTTGAGCTCGGAGGGCTAGAGGTGAAGCACACCTGAGCCTCGTCCTGACCCACTGCTCGCTCCCTCAGGTAAAAGCAGGAGGTAAAAAATAGACCTGTCTCCATCCTCTGGGAGAAACAGATCTCCAAACACCACCACGCTTTATTAAGACGGACTTTCTGTTTTATTAGATTTACACCTTGATGACGTGAATAATAAACAATTGATTTTGATTTTTCACAAATTGGCAACCTTTGTAGCTTTGTTAAAAAGAAGAAACCCCCCATGGGATTTTTTAGATGCATAGTTTTAGAAAAACAAAAACGCAGCTTACGTCATTGAGTCCTGTTCCTTTGAGCAATAATAGTCGTGACGTAAGCGCTTGTGCTTGGAGGATGTTGCTTGAATTTCCAATCAAAGCACTCAACCTTTCTGAACAAGGTGAACCAGACTGAATAAAGCAAAAACAACTCCACTAAATACACTATACTGTCGGACACAGTTTCAAAATGATTTTTCAAGCAGATGAAGGATTGAAAACATGCAGTCAATCAGAATCCATTCAGTTTAAGAGTACTTTCTTGGCGTAGTTTATCTTAAAATGATAACTAGTGTTAATATACTTGCCCATCCATGTTTTCAGGAGAACATAAAAGATGATTTTAGCTTCCTGCATGTGAAGATGTAAGAGACACAGGCACTGATCAAATTATAAATTGACTATCGCATTTACATTAAGTCATTCAGCAGAAGCTTTTGTCCAAAACAACTTACAATTGAGGAGGCATTGAGTGACTCAAGAAGAGGCAATACACACATGAAGTGCTAATTATACAAAGCAACTGCTCGGAGAATTAAGTGAAGGAGGGGAGTGTTTTATTTTTATAGAGAAGAGTGTTTCTACAGGTAGTTTGTCAAGCCCACTCTCCTCTGTGTGTGTAGTGTTTATATTTTTGGGTATTGTTTGTTTGTGTAATACGTATGCTCATGTAGCAGAGGCCAGCTGGTGAAGTGATATGCAGTTAAACCTCATTCCTCTGACCACTAAAGGTGCCCTTTTGACAGACACTAGAAGCCATGGTCTTTAGCCTCCTTGGTAAAGCAACTGACTCCCATATCGAAGGTCCCCGATTCAATTCCATGCTCTGAGCATATTGGGTGGCGTAGGACCGTCGGGGTTACATTGGTGCCGTGACCTGGATGGGAGTGAGGTTTAGGGGGGGTGACTAGCAGAGGCCAGTTAGTGAAGTGCTGTGCAGGTAAACCTCACTCCTTTGACCTCTAAAGTTGCTCTGGCGACAGATGCTATAGGTTATGGTCTTGAGCTTCCTTGGTAGAGCAACCAACTCCCATGCGGAAGGTCATTTACTCTCATGGGTGTTGTTGGACCGGCGGGGTTACACTCGCTTGGGTGAACCACATTCATACATTTCATTCAAACACATCACATTTTTAATTCAAAGTTTTCAGCGCTTTAAATTCGCCATGAAATCAAAGCCTACTCTTGTTATTTTTTTTTTTTTGCCAATATATATATATATTTTTTTAAATTTTCTTTTCAGTTTGCACACATTGAAATACAACACTTTACATTTACATTTTTTTAAAACTATACCCTTGCTGCATTAACAAATTATGCAGAGGATATGTACACTACCTGACAAAAGTCTTGTCGTTGATCCTAGTAGAGCAACAAATAAAAACTTGACTTCTAGTTGATCACTTAAAAAAGTGGCAGAAGGTAGATTTTTCTGATGAATCATCTGTTGAACTGCATCTCAATCATCACAAATACTGCAGAAGACCTACTGGATAACGCATGGACCCAAGATTCTCACAGAAATCAGTCAAGTTTGGTAAAGGAAAAGTCATAGTTTGGGGTTATATTTAGTATGGGGGTACGACACAGATCTGCAGAGTGGATAGCAACATCAACAGCCAGATGTATCAAGACATTTGTGCTGCCCATTACATACAAACCACAGGGGAGGGCAAATTCTTCAGCAGGATAGCGCTGCTTCTTATATTTCAGCCTCCACATCAAAGTTCCTGAAAGCAAAGAAGGTCAAAGTGCTCCACGGTTGGCCAACCCAGTCACCAGAGATGAACATTATTGAGCATTTCTGGGGTAAAATAAAGGAGGCGTTGAAGATGAATCCAAAGAATCTTGAAGAACTCTGAATGCCCTTCCAGTTGCAACCCACTGAACTGGGAAACACTCATAAACTCTCGCATTCTCACACACACTCATACACTACAGACAATTTAGTTTACCCAGTTCACCCATAGCGCATGTCTTTGGACTGTGGGGGAAACCGAAGAAAAGGAGAACATGCAAACTCCACACAGACATGCCAACTGGCCCAGCTGGAACTCAAGCCAGCGGCCTATGAGGTGACAGTGCTAACCAAACTTGCACTAATTATTTTACTGCTTGCAACTTCCATGTGCAAGCATAGGTATCTATTAAAATAGAAACTATGCATCTAATTGTACTTTGCTTCAAGGATATTTAAATACCTATTTTACAATAAATGCATATGTAAACTATTATGTCTTAAACTGATGACTGAATATTTTTCTGCATAGACTGCAGGGCACGATTATGCATTCACAATGGTATGAACAATTATGGGGTGGTCATGTATGTTTGTTTTATCTATTATTTAATTTATTAAATTTAAGATTAGGGCTGTATCACATTGGAAAAATTGGACATTGCGATATATTTTTTTCTGCGATTTGCAATATATTGTATCTATAATTTCCCCAAATGATTGAATGGCACTATTTGGAGAGAATTTATTGCCACACTTTATTTTAATGTCACTTCTCACTTCTCGGTATTAGCAAACCATGTGACTTTATTTTTCAGTAAACTAACTCTTACTTTGCTAATTATTAACAGATATTAAGGTATGGGTATTGGGTTAGGGATGTAGAATAAGATCATGCATAATATTTAGTTTATAAGTACTAAAAAGCAGCCAATATCTAAATAACACATAAGCACTTATTTAATAGTGAACATTGGTCCCTTAAGTGTTACCAAATGTATTCATTTAGATTGATTTTAGATTGATTAGGAGGATTCTGCAATGCATAAAACGTTACAAATTACAAACATAGATAAATGTAATAAAGCAAAGATGAAAGTGAAATAAGCAGTGCACCCTTTGTGGTTTTGCATATATAAATGTAAAAATTACTCTGCAGAGTCTTTATTGTAAACATAATGCAATATTATTATTCTTTATTAAACTTCCAATTGGCAAAGGGTCTTATCCTTGAATACTTTAATCTCTCTCAGGCCTTAAAAACATGCAAACTATAGAATTTCACTCCGTTGTGCTTAAATCTTGTGTTCTGAACTGTGACTTTTGCTCAAATATAATCCTAATTCAACATTGCATATCTATGCAATGTGACCATTTCAGATGCATACATTGTGATATCAATGCTTTAACGATATAATGTGCAGCCCTATTTAAGATACAGTTCAGGCAGAGCAAACTATTGCTAATTAGGATGAGAAAATAAAATAAAAAGGAAAAAAAACATTTTATTTCCTTAACTTCAAACATCTTGGCACCATTTCTTTCTATGGAGGGTCAGAAACAGGCCCAGATTAGGAATTCAGAGGCCCCTGGGCACAGTGTCTTGTTGGCCCCTGACCTAGCTGCAACCCTATAGTAAAATAAAAAAAAAAGATTAATATCATATTTTTTAAAATAAAATTAATCGGCCACATTTTTTAAATAAACGATAAACAGTATATATTTGTAATCTACAAAGTTTTAACTTATTTTAAAGCATTTAAAGCGCACTTTGATTAAAAAAAATTAAAAAAAAAAAGTAAAAAAATTAATGGATTTTAATTTACTTGTTCAAGTTCTCTGAAGCAGTACTAAAAATTTATATTTAAGGGTATTTTTTAATGTATAACTTCTAAAAGCTTATAATGCATATGACTTGGAAATAACACCTCAGTTCTATGAATCTGAGTCTTCCATAATACACTTGCTTATTAATGATTCCTACTTGTCTTCCTGATGAATATCTGATATGTAGAGGATAAAAAGAAGAACGTGTTCATCAAACGCTGATCTTGAAACCGGGTTCATGATCGATCGCGTCAAAACATGTTGCCATGCACTTTACAAACTACGCGACTTACACTGCTGTCTACTACTCTCTTTAGTTGTGTTGTCTCTGTCAATCAAACAGTGATGGGCATGAATCGCTTAACTAGCTTGTTCTAACGAGGTGCACTATTTGCACTTAGCCTAAATAGACACTTCAAAATCTGCATTTTTTCCCACCTTACAGGGGCCTTAAGTGCGCACGGGCTCCTATGCTTATGCCCATTGGTTAATCCGGCCCTGGACAGAGCTCCTGGATTTCATGTAAATTATCCTAATTTGTGGAAGATAAGCGAACACAACTTTGTATTTTTGAGTGAAATAATCCTTTAAAGTTCTACTGAAAATAATAAAAATTATCACCAAGAATTCTGGGTGAACTGATCTTTAAAAGTTTTACTAAAGTAATAAAAATTATCACCAAAAATTCTACATATAACCACGCAAGCCTTCAATCATACCCATCTTTTTTTCTCTCCATCTGTTCTTCTAGTACCATGAGTCACTGATAATCATATGATTAAATAAATGCGCTCCAGTCAGCTGATGAGAAGAACATTAACAATCATCTCCTTTCTTCTCCCGCACTCGCTCTCTCATTCCCCTGTCGGAGGTAATAGGCCTTGTTATTTGATCAGTTGCAATGACTTAATGAACAAAATGAGAGCTCTTTTGCATGCATCTAGAACAGAGATGCTGATGAGCCGATTTTAGACGGACATGATGAGGCAGGCGTCACTGTATAATTTGACATATATTTTTAACTTTGACCGTTTGAACTGCAGAGATGAGTGAAGTGAGATGTCAGACTTCAGGACTCCTGCTGTGTTGTGACATGAAGGTGGGCCCTTTGGACTCGGGTGTATGTGAGGCCCCATGTGGGGTCCAGTGAGCCCTGGGGACCTCTGTCATGTCAAAACACCAACATGTCTCGGAGACATTAGATATTGTCTATCGTAATAATCACAATCAAAGGCATTTGCTTTAAAAAAAAATTGATTTTGTTCTTGTGTACAGCTTTACACGTAGTGTGTAATGTGATACTGATTTTACACAGCATTTACTTTGTCATTTAGCTGATGTTTTTGTCCAAAGCAACATACTATTGAGCAGGCATTCATTAATTCAACAAAAAGAGGTGATACACACAAGTAGTACTAATTATACAAAGCAACTATTAGTGCTCAGAGAAATAAGTGATGGAGTAAGGAGAGGGAGCATATTTACGGGTGGTTTGGCAAGCCCACTCACCTGTGAAGAGCACAATTCATAAATGTACTGTATGTAGCAGGGTGGAATAGCCCTTTATGGCTGTTGGCTGGTGTACTGCTTATTTGTTGAGCCTATGAGGACCTGGTTGACGATCACTGTAGTTGCTATTGGCAGTGTCGTGTTAAGGATTTGAACCTATCAGATTGCAGTTAGGAAGTATAACAATTGAGCGCTTTTGGTAACTCGGTATGCATCATCGGTGTTGCCGTCCTTTTTTTTCTAATGGGTAAACTCTTATGGTTAGAAGTGACAGTAAGTGTGGAAGTTTTGAGTTTTTGTAAACTTTAGTACATTCAGGTAGTTGCTGTCGTGTACGTGTTGCCTTTACTGACTGTTTTGGTATTCAGATGCTGATTGATTCACCGTGCTAGCGTCCTGCTATGACTCCCGGTGCTTGGATGTCCATCAGAGACTTCCGATTGAATATTCACTTTCATCAGTGACAACTATCCTGCCTCTGGTAACTTGCCAGATCCTTTACCTCAATCTGTTCTAAGACTTTGTAATTTACAAATTTAGCACTGTAAATGACAGCAATAGTTTGATTGTGGTGTTTACATGTCTGTATTGCACTTCAGTAATGCGACTAAAATCAGGAAATGAGGAAAGAAGTATAGCAATACCAGCAAATTTTCAAGTGTCGGGACATTTTTTTGGTCCCCATAAGGAAAACGGCTCATAAATCACACAGAATGAATATGTAAAAATGTAGATTGTTTCCTGCGAGGGTTGGTTAAGGGGTAGTGGGATGGAATATACAGTATAAACATCATTACGTCTATGAGAAGTCCCCATAAAGATAGCTCTACAAGTGTCAGTGTGGAAATCTCTCAGGAGGCCTCTGGTCTTTAATTTGGCCTGTGTTTTGTGTGCAGGTGTGGTGTGTGGGTGTGGATCAGGATCACACAGTTACTATGGTGCAACACCTGAGTCACAGTGACAGAGGAGAGTCTTTTCCAGCACAGGTCTCCTCATAAACAACTGCACACACTCCTCAAAACAGTCTTTTCAACAACACACACGTACACGCCTTCATCTCTCAACTCTCAACCAGGTAAAACACTTTCTTTTTCTCTCCTCTGCAACAAACTTTAGGTTTGCTTGATACTTAAATGATGATTCTTATTTTTAATTGACTTTAATTGGTTTACTTGCACAATAAGAAGTTTACTGTAGCTATCGTCACATCTAATGTTACTAAATAATCATTGCCATAGTATTACTGTGGTAGCACAATCAAAATGTGTTTGGTGGTGTAAATATTAAGCTGACAAAACAAGCCGTACTCTTAAAACAAAAAATGTATGGGTTGTTGTAACACAATGATGTTTCAAATATGGACAAACTCAACCATAGATTAAATTTAAGAGTAAAAATTATTCAAAGGTTTGTCTATTTTTGACCCAACACTGTAAACAATGCTGGATGCAATTGATTTGTGTTCAACATGAAATAATTAAGTTAACTTATTCGTTTTTACACGTTTAAGTGGATTGAACATAAAACAATTAAGTTATCCCTAAAAAAACTCAAAAATTATGTTGTTTCCGCTCATTTTAAATAGGTAGTTTGAACAAACAGCAAACATTATTTGTTGAGTAAACAATAAGTTAAAAAAGGCCAAACTCAATGTAATGAAGTGCAGGATTTCCATCCAATAAATTTGTATGTGGCAACCTAAAAAAATGCAAGTATGCAACTAAGTAAACTTGAGTTGCTCCAATAACAACATTATCAAATACAGTTTCAATAAAAGAATATTCAGTGAAATCAAAATGATTTAAACTGGTAATATATTATTAGCTAGAAACTATTTTTCCTCATAACCAAACAAGATTCAAACCTTGGTTAAAAAATGACTGTACACCTTTAAAATGCTGGGTTGCAATAACCCAGTGTTGGCTCAAATATGGACACACACAAATCTTTACGTTAAATTAAAAGTACAATTTTTAAACCCAACTGTTGTGTTTGTTCGTATTTGACATAGCATTGGGTTAAAATAACCCAGTCTTTTTTTGTGTGTGTGTGTGTGTGTGTGTGTGTGTGTGTGTGTGTGTGTTAGTGCAGTTTTGACTGGATTATGGAGGGTGTGGTCGATGTAAACAGCTTATGCCTGTTCTCCACAGGTTCTCTGTGTCCGTCATGCCCAGTAAACTGGAGGGAGCAATGGATGCGCTGATCACCGTCTTCCACAACTACTCCGGCAGTGAAGGAGACAAATACAAACTGAGCAAAGGAGAGCTGAAGGAGCTTCTCAACGCTGAACTCACCGACTTCCTCATGGTTAGACATCACACTGTTTTATCACTGTTTCTACTTTGGCTTGATTTTTCTAGCATCTACTACTAATATATATATATATATATATATATATATATATATATATATATATGCAATTTTTATTATACATACAGTGTAATAAAAATAATAATTATAATCAAATATAATTGTTAAATTAATAATTATTATTAATTATTAGATTACTAATAATTAATCAATCAAAATAGCTTATATTTTAATATTCATGTTTTATATAAAATCTATGTACATTTATTTAGTATTTTTAGATTTTTTTTTAATTTGGAAACAAAATAAACAAAAGAAACTCTACAAAAAATCAGATTAGCTATTTTACTGGATCCAGATGAAACAAAAAAAACTCCAAAAAATTAATTAATGATATTCATTCAGTTATGTTATTAATAAAACTGTTTATAAAAATATCCATCAATATATTTTATATAAAACTTGAATGTATACCAAAATATGTTTTTTTTATTCATGTAATAATAGAAAATAATTAGTTATTTAACATAATTTTCTAATAATAAAAAAAAGATACATTATGTAAAATAAAGCAGGGCAAGGCAATTTTTTATATAGCACATTTCATACACAGTGGCAATTCAAAGTGATTTACATAAACAGTAATAAAAGAGACAAGTATAAATAAAATAAAAACAAATTATATAAAAACAGATGAAAACAGCGTAAAGACGGTTTTCCATGTTAAAACACTGATGTATCATATTTTCTCATTTTACTCTGGGACTTCCCCATTCTGGTGCTCCCGTTTCC